AAATTGCAACACAACATCTTCAGGTTTAAAATTAACATTACCTCGCCTAAATCTAGCCCCTTCAAAACTCTCTGACTATGCTTTTTTGAGATGTCCTTTCTTGAAATGTACTAGATAAGTTGGGCAGTTGAATCCAGTTTTTATTATTATCAAGGTTAAATTTTCAGTGAGAAAGAACTATTAGGTCAGCTAATTTTACAGTTAGAGCTTTGTCTTTGAGGCTTAGTTAGTTCTACAAAGAGTTACAAGTTACATTTGCGGGTTACAAAAATACAAGCTGCATATTAGACAAAAGTTCCAAATGCCTCCAAGAAGCACATCTTTATTGCTTATTTATTTCTTTGGTTCTGGCCATCACACATGGGCCACAGGTCAACCATGTCCAAAGGGCTGAAGGGCGTCAGAAGCTGGTTGCAAGGAAGGAGTTAGGTGAGGATGAAGGACAGGAGGAGGTTCAGGCAGGAAGAGGAGCATTAGGGACAGGGAACCAGACTAGGGAACAGGGGATCAAAGAGCAGGAATTACAACTAGGAACTGAGAGCCAGGACTAGGCGAATGTCTTGTTGGGAGCCTTAGGAGCCCTGCAAGGGTTGCTGCTCATATGGAGCAGCCATACCCAAGCACTTCACTAACACCAGCTGAGGACACTCAGGCACTTGGCAGCTGGTCCCACCCAGGCTGTCAGGGCTGGCTGGGGACTTCTCTGCCCGCCTATCACCCTAGCTCCCCACAGCCATCCTGAGGCATGTGGGGTGGAAAGATAATTTAAAAGCTCCGTCTACATTTTGATGGATCTCTGTCTGCAGGAAATACCATTGTGCTGGTATCAGATTCTGGCAACTCTTTTGTGGTTGAAGTCCTGGCGTTATTCAAATATAATGCAGTCTCATGGGAAAATGTCATTGTGAAGAGAATGCAGGAAAGTTCCTCTTCACAATAGACGATACTTATGGGAGGGACAAATTGCATTTGGATGTTTCCTAGGGGTTGTATTTCTTTCAAAAGAATGCTTTTTAGGGAGTTGGGGTCCTGCCCCTTCCTGTGGGACTCCCTTAATCACATGCTCAGTGGCCCTACAAATTAAAATGAGAACCTCAAGTTAAGTAGCACGGGCTTTTGCAAATGTTATCAAACAACCTGATGCTGCCGTAGAATAAAACACAGAGTTGGGACACCTGTGACAAAAACTGAGTATTACTGGAAGTCTCACATGTAGATATATTCCTACAGAGAAGTCCCATGGACTTCAGTGGGTGGGGCTCATTACGCTTTAGCACTAGCTGTGTCTATCAAGAGTGGCCATGTGTTCTTGCATACGCTACTCAATTCATAATGGTTGATGTCTTAGAAGGAGCACATGCAGACAGGCTGCCAAGTATGGATGGCCCTTTGAAAGCCCAAAAGGAGGATCCATAGCTAGATACAAATATTACCAAGATGAGGGTACGCTGTATACTGTGAGTCATGACTGGGAACAAGCCACTTTGGACTCTGGTCTGGAGCGCACAGGATTGTTCTCCAAAGGCTGGAAGCACTAGCCCCAAGTGCAATTAAAGGTGTGAGAGGAGTGAGTGACAAAGTAATAGCACATTTATGGTGGAATAACACTGTTGCTTATTCCTCGTTTTATTGCACCGTGAATTGAACGAACGTGCGGCCAGGTCACTAAAGCTGTCTCAAGGGTAATGTGCCTCAGAGGTCTGGGGAACAGAAAGCACAAGGGATTCAGAGTTTTTGTGTATGTTGAGTAAGGAAGAAAATGTGCTACACTGCAGCAAAAACAGTTGTGGAGCCAAGATGGTGGTTAATGCACTCCACAGAGAAATCTCAGGCTCCAATTCCAGATATCAGGTTATGCGTTCTGGGATTGTGCGAGGGGCAGATCCAGACTGGTTAACTAGGCACCTAAATGGGATGCAGGTGGAATTTAGGTGCCTGAGTTTCACAAAGTGACACAGAATAACCCCGTTCCCGTATCCACCTCCATCTCCTACCTCAGGTGCCTAAATTCCTCTGGTGTACATATAAAAAATCCCATGTGCCTAAACAAGAGCTTCTGAGCATGTACCAAAGCACTCCAGTCTAATCAGTGAGATACTTTCTCTTGCTTAAGCTCCACCATGATCCAGAATGAAGACAGGAAGGTGCCTGTCCTCCATCTAAGTCTTTGGAGGAGCCTGATCTCACAGGCAGGCTGTAAATACAAGCAATGTGCACTCATATAATTGGATTGAGCATAAAATATATCCATGGCCCTGATCACCTAAAAACACAGCTGGAGAAGGAAGACCCCATTTTTTGCATAGTAGCTGGGGCATTCACTAGAAAGTAGATGCCCTGAGATCTAGAGATTTTTCAGACTGCAGGGATTCACTCCCACGTCTCCAACTTCCCAGGAGAGTGCCCCATCTGCCAATTGAGGGAATAGCTCATTGGGGGAAAATCCTTCCACTGTTCGTGCCGAGGAAGCTGAGACACTGGGCATAAAGGAATGCAAAAACCATGCGGCAAGAAGGACAGCAAGAAAAATGGAGTATGGCTGTATAGGTTAGTGGTTAATGCATTCCACAGCGAAAGCTCAGGCTCCAATTCCTGGCATTGGGTTATTTCTCTTTATTAATCAATGACTGACTATTGTAAAATGTTTGAGGAGCGAGCAGGGCCAGGCCTCAGGACACCTTCCCCCAAGCTGAGATAGAGAGTAACAAGCCCTTTTGCTTGGTCTCCATCTATCCTGAGGACTCTTGCCTTCCTCTCCATACAGTGGCCAAGCTTCTCCAACTGGAGGGGTGCAGAATGCCCCTACCCAGACAGTTTTATAGCTTAGTGGCTATGACACTCTCCTGGCAAGTTGGCAATATGGGTTTGAATCCCTTCAGCTGGGAAAAGGCTTAGAAATAAGCTCTCCTGCTCCCCAGGGGTGTGTGCAGTATCTACCAGGCTATCCTGTAAAAGGTCAGTGCTGTTAGATGCAGATCCCGAGCGGAAGGAACTTCCTAAAGTGCATTTTTGAGTGAGATGCTTCAACCCCAAGAAGGCACCGGGGTTTGGATGCAGCTCTTATCTCAATGCAGTGTCTCATATAGTACACCCTGTTAGGACCTAATCCTGCTGTTATTGAAATCAGTACTTCCATGAACCAGTAAATCTCTAAGGTTTCTTTAGACATGCAGGGAGCCTGCTCCGACGCACTAGAAATTCAGTGCATTGGAGCAGACTCAATTAATCAAGTCTGCTGGAGCATGGCAATTGATGTTCTCTGTCAGCCTTCCTCATCACATGCATTAGTGTCACCACACTGAAAAAATGGTGGTGGTGGAGCTTTGAAATAAAACACGCTTAATGAAGTTTAGGTCAAAGCACTGCACTGCTATTTTTCAGCATGGGGACACTGATACACATGACGCATGGACGCTTTTAATTAGCGTGGTTTGCTAATTAAAGCACTCGGTGCTGCATCCCAAAGCACATGAAAAAATGCCCTAAGGTTCCACCTGACCCTATCCATTGACTTCACTGGGAACAAGTTAAACTAGGCATTGCTCTCCTTTCTCAGCGTAATACATTCTTGAAACCTTTAGTGAATCTTATATACTACAATTAAACATATGGTCATGATATGCAAGTTCTGGATGGAGGTTGCCCTGTAGAAAAGGGCACATAATCAAGCTAAGTTAACTTCTATATGCCACACAATTTCCATATCCTGGTATTATAAAATATATATGCATATATACACTAAAAGTAAAACTTACAACCCCCCTGCCCTCCCTGGAAACCTCATTTGATTCTATAAGGCATTAGATTTTTCTAATTATTTCAATAATTTAAAGATAATTTTCACATCATTGACAGTTCTTGATAAGCAAACTAAAAATTCAGGTGAACTAAAATTCGATGATGTCCTCCAAAGTTGCACAACATAGATAGGCTGGATTTAAAGGAACTACATTCTGACTGCATCTACATGAAACGTTGACTGCACATTCATTTTGTACTTGCATGCCCAAGTACTAAATGACTGTGCAGTAACCAATGTTACTGCACAGTAGCATCCCTCCATGGCTTCCTGGTGAGGTTTACTGCACACACAGTCGCTGGTTACTACTGCACAGTAGTGTCATATCACGGTTTGTGCCATGCGACACTACTGCACAGTAAGTATCTCTGTAGAATCTCAACTAGTACACAGTTTTAAATCCGATTGCAAAGCCAAGTATACTTTGGTCACTGAACTTACAAGAGTGTAAACCCAGAAGACAGATTACCAGCTTCCCTCATTTACTTAAAATCTTTTTCTCTAAACTTTAAAGTTACTCAAGATTTAAAGATGTATTTGTACAGTAATCATTTTACGGTCTTAAGAGAAGTTTATCTTATGGTTAATCTTCAGATCTACATACAGCATAGAGTAGTGAATCAACATGTAAAAGAGCAATATAAAAGCACCTTGAATGTATAAACTGTGTAATGACCTTTCTTTTTTTTTTAATACAATGCTGTGTAACCAGTACCCAACAATAACAGATCCTTGACCTTCACAGAACTAGTTTTCAAAAGACCAATTAGAAATGATCCTGAATCAAGAAAGAAAAGGGTGTTCTTTAGAGCTGGAATTGGACATTATGAAGTGGAGGTTCTGCATTTTCTTCCAGGAAGCAAAAATGGGAATGTTTCTATTTCTAAGTAAATATTATTCTAGGATGTGTATGTGTAGACTCACACCCTTAATGTGCCTTAAAAATGGCTAATGTGCCTTAAATTGGCACATGTAGATGCACCCTCTGAATAGAAAATCCTGCATGTTCAAATAAGTGTGGGCTACGTGAGCTGAAATTTCAAGGTTGGCTTGTTTTGCAGAACTCATTGAGACTTTAAAACTCACATTTGGAAAAGATTCATTCAAAATTGTGCTGTCAAAATGGTGTTTGACACAAAAAGCAAAAGAACAAAATTAAAATGTTGTTATAGTTTTTTCAGCAAAACAAATGGATATTATCTTCATTTAGGGTTTTCCTTTGGATTTTTTTTTCTCCTTTTCTTTCCCCACTGGAAAAGGAAAATAAAGGGGCAGGGGGAGGTAAGAAGCATGTGAAAGATCACAAAATTCAAGAGTGAAATATACATCTATATATTAATTTCTCTATGCCCACATGGCTCTGTAAAATGATTGATATCCAACCCAACTGCTCCTCTTCAGTATATTTTTAAACTCCAACATACTCGGTGTAATGTGGATGGGTCAGTGCATTTCCTTGTTCCTATCTGCTTACGTAAAATGCTCTTCTCCTGACTTGTGGCTCAGCTGATACATAATTCTACTGTAGGTGTGGCTGCAAAATATGACATTAGGAATAGCAGCATTTAGATCTTCCTAAACATTCAGCAACATTTATAGCCTGACAACTTGTCAGGTTAGCTCAATGTCACAGCTGTAGAGAATGAAGCCGGGAAGTTAAATATCATGTCCAGTGCCTGAACAATTGTAGCCGCTATCAAACTTTTTAATTAATCATAAACTCCTGTCTCACATTTGATAGGACCTTTTCACTACACAGAACCCATTTCCATTGGCAGCAGGATCCAGGAGAACAAGATGAATAATGGAGGCAGGAAGCCTCTTAATTCGAACCTTGCCTTTGACATTGACTTTGTGCACAGCTTTCTACAAATGAGTGATCTTTCTTTAGCCTTGTTTCTTGTTTGTAAACTGTGGCCCCTAGAAGGCTGATTACATGATCCTACCTGAAATGTATGGAGAAAGCAGGGAGATGGAACTCCTTTTGTACTTCGTTTTAAGGAAACCAGAGAAAAGAGGTGAATGTTGGATCTAAGAGAAATATGTCCTCATGAAGGGAGATGCCTAGAGTTACTGGCTCTTGTAAGAGCATGGGTGGTTTTGGCTACAGGTTGATGGTGGGACGAGATGGTCTTTGGCTTCTGCTTAGCTGTCAGAACAGAAATCCCTTCTGAATACCACAATGGGTTGATAACATCTCTGGGATCCCTGAAGTTCAGTTGTGGACCATTATTTGCTTATCTGGCTATTTGTTCATGTCAAACATGCCACAACCCCTGCACCTCCTCCTCCATAACCTGCTGTTGAGGTTCTGGCTGCACTTTTCCCTGCACCTTTTTATTTATGCCCTCCCCATCCGCTGCCCCACTAAGGCCCAGGACCTCCTGGTCAACCTCCTCCTGGCTCTGGCCAAGTGTAGCATCTGGCTAACTAGGTGGGAGGCTCTGGCTGGGAGGCTTCCCAGGGACATTGGAGCATTTTTCCTTGGTGTCCTCCAGTTGTGAATCCAAGTGGAGCATCTCTGGGCAGTAGCTGCCGGCACTCTTGCTGAATTCGAGGGCTGGTGGGCGCTGTCTGGCGTGCTCTATTTGGTATCCCCCCAGGGAGCACTTGTTTTGGCCCTTTGACCTTCATGTGCACACCCTGTTTTTCATTCTTTGTCCCCTGTATTTAATTGGTTTTAAAAGAGGCTCTTAGCTGCCCAACAGCGGCGGCCCATGCAATTTTAGTGGGCTAGGCCCATGGCCCTTTTTAATCAAATCGATCAAACATGCCACATTATGGACAAATCTTACTGACCAGCTCATCATGGGGCTAATATACCTATGGCTCAGAGGTATGTAGAGGATAAGCAGGTATGCTCAGATCCCATTCCACCACTGGAAATCTAAGCTTATGCAGCCACTTAGCTGAAAATAAATGACTTGCCTCAGGACACGAAGCTACTGCACAATAGTAACGAGCTACTGAGCAGTCAGCATCACCAGAAAGACATTCGGGGATGCTACAGCACAGTAACACCAGTTATTGCTCAAGCATTTAGTACTTGTGTATGCAAATACTACTGACTGTGTAGTAATAACCACATACTCAGCATCTCATGTAGACGCGACCACAGACTCTCAATGAACATCCTGGTGTATCTCACAAGACCAATCCGTTCTGCCATAGAGATGCCATAGAGATGGGCACAGCTCTTCTACCCTGCCCTGATCACTGCACCACCTTCTTCCCTCCTGTTGAAACTGGGCCACTGGACAAAGACTGACTCCTAGGATCAAAAGGAGAAGCAATGAAAAGAGGACTGATTCTTCACCCCAGTGAGGTGAGCACTCTGCTGGGAGGGAAGGAGCCCTTGGTTTTGTCACCAGTCCCAAAGCTGTTTTTACCTTAAATGGCTATCGGAAAAAATGAATTCGAAGTGCTGGAGTCGCTCATTTGTAAGTTGAAGGAGTGAGCACAGGAATCAGTTGCTGTTATTATATGACAAGAATGTGTTCCCTGCAGGTACCTGCAAAACACGGAAATTCTCCTTCATAAAGGTTATTGATATTACGAAATTTAACTTCATACCAGAGGGAAAAAAACCCCAAATTCTGACAATTTATGTAAAGCAAAATTCTGAAACCAAAACAAAAAGAATTGACAATCTTTCAGATGTTTGTTATTTTGACTTGAAATGATGTACTGTATTAGCTTATACAGAAACCAAATTAAACAGTTTGGAATGAAAAGTTGCAGGTACAAGGGGTTTTCTTCAAAATAAAATCCAATTCCAGCAAAATCAATTTAATCTCATGGGCATTTTAACTTCAATGGGACTGTAGTTCTGTTCTAACCAGTTTTACTATCCAACATGATATGCTTAAATGCATTGAAAAATGCATGTTTATGACAGCTCTGATACTTTCAACAGTGTTTAGAGGGAACATCCCAAACTTATGGGTCTTGTTACAAGAATTAGGGCTTGAGATGCTTTTTCTGCATCTGCAGCAAAGACAGCAGGAAGGCAACGAATCCTGGAATGCATAAAAATAATGTTTTGAATGTTTCTTGTCTTACACATTATTATTTATGTAGCAACCAATAGTGTGCCATGCGCTGCCACACGTGAAACTCTATGAGTAGTAGGGAAATAGTGAAAAATATACACACCGAAGTGTAAAGGAGCTGAAAGTCAGAGCTGGTCCAATAATAAATGAATTATTTACTATCAGAGGCCATGGGGGCAGAAGCTCTCCTCCAAGCTGGAAGGCAAATTCAATAACTCTTGTTCCCAGGCCTGGGCTCAGATATGTATCCTGGAAAAAAACACCAAAGAAAACAAAAATAGGGTTTTATTTCTGTAGACCACTTGGCATATTTAAAAAAAAATCAAAATACTTTTCATTAGACATGACATGGGCCATCAGACTGGTAAATTTTATGTTAAGGGAAGTGTTTAAAAAGCCGTCTGAAATGCTCTTGCCATTTACTTAGTTTTAAGCGCTCACAAAATGTATGTAAGTGCCTGAACATCAGCGTCTACAGATAAGAACATCTCTTACAAAAGTAGCTGCTGTTATCTCTTAGCACATGCACTTGCTGTAAATGTATCTGGCATCCAAATAGAACTATTAAAGAAATTCCTCATGCAGTAAGTTTCTTCACTGAATTCGCCTCGTTAGAAGCACAATCGTGTAGTTATAATTTTGACACACGCCAACAAATCCTCATAGAAATTAGACCTATGCAAATATTTCAAAGGTAAGTACATGAAAATGGATTCTAGAAAAGAAAAGAAAAGAATTGGCTGCCACAACATTTTAGAAGGAAATCTCACAACTTTTTGATCAAGCTCACACACTTTTTAGGTAGCTTTCCCTATTCCCTGCCATGAAATTATCACCTGTAGCTGAATAGGTCTGTGGGCTCAACCAAGTGAAGAAATCTCTATGCAATACCTACCTCATCAGAGACTTCATAACATGCTATTTAATGCTTCACAATGTAGGGGTGGGAGAGAAAGGTTTCAAAATCAAAATGATATTGTGACAGGAGTGCCTCTTCTGGAGTCCTTCTATCAGTGACCCCGCCCTCCTGTTATGGGCTAACCAGCTGCTTTCTTGCCTGCCATGCCTAGATCTTCATTGATTAATTGATGTACTTAAGCGGGAGGCTGCCTATTTTCTGCCCCACTGCTCGGGAGTGCTATCTTTGGCTCCTTTTCCTCCCCTACACCACAGCTCAAGCCTCGCAGATGATACTGACACAGTTTGATCTGGGCCTTGTTGTACTTTGGCCTTCCCCTTGTCCTCCCTGGGCTATCCACAGCCCTATCTCGTTCTGTTTCGCTCTGTGCCTTCCTGGTGCTCAGGCTCTCCGCAGCCCTGTCTGGCACTGCGACTTCACTGGCACTCACTGCCCCCTCTCCCTGGGGCTGAGGTTCCCACGCTGCTGCAGGTCCCCTGTGAGGCCTCCTCCATCCCCTAATAGCCTCAACCAAACTGCTGGTCAAAAAGCAAACACAAAGCCCCTGGGCTATAACAAAAATCCAAGCCGCCCGGCTAAAACATCATTCAATCCCTACCAGGGAATACTCCATCCCATAACAGCATCAGGAGCTGCTCGTGCAATCAGGCCTCTTTTCTTTTCTCACTCAGGCAGAGCTCCTTCACCCTTGGCTGCCAGCGGGGAACTGCCCTCCTGGCCTCAGGCCTGGGGTTTATGCGGGAGCCAGACCCTGTCCCTTCCGGTCAGCTGACCAGGTGCAGGTGTGGCCAATTCCTTTCTTAACCAGTTGTCCTGGCAACCAGCACTTGGGTTCCTGCCTCTGCTCTGAGAGTAGCAGGCACCTTAGTGTCCTGCTACAGATAACTATTTCCAAAGTCTCTTTCCAGTTCTGCTCCTTGTCCCATAATGGACGGGACTGGGAACCCAATTTAAAAAACTGTGAGTGCTGAGAATAATGCTTTTAATATTAGCAGCTTGAGTCCATCTTTAATAAAACTGTCAACTCTCAAAAGATAGAAAAAATGCAGATAAAGCAAAGTTCTTTTCACATCACTGTTAATAGCTGGACCAAGGAAGTTTGAGAAGTAGGAGAAACACTATTAGTTCATGAAGCCCTCATGAAATATGGAAAAAGCATTGAGCTTGGAGAGGAAAAAGCCATGAATCTTTCAAGCCACTGAAGGAAACAAGGCAAATAAAGCAACAGTTGAGATGGAAATGGATTTTGTTATCTGCTCATTTTTTTAATGGGAACTTAAAGGTCACATTCTAGAGACAGGGCTTTCCCTGGGGAGGAAGTACAATGCTCAACATCCTTATAACAACAAAAGAAAAAAAGACACTAGCACACTGAAAAGTTCATTGTGTGTCAGTCCTAGTGGAGGAAGGCCCTATAGCTCAGAAGCAATTCAAAATTTAAAGGAAAATAAGATTCTCTTTTGTCCAGAGTTTTTGCTGGTTTGTAGGAGGTGCCAGTCTCTCATAATCCCCTTGTATAAAAGAGGTTGAAAGGCGAAAGCAGCCCTGAGAAAGTGGTCATGGGAATTACAATGAAGAATACCATGGTCCTTGCTTAGGAGTGCATAGTAGGAAGTAATTGCTCCATATGCTGATAATACTGCAGCCAGACCCAGAGTCACCTTCTGCATTTAATAAAAACAGCTCGGCAATACAAACATCTCCAAACTGCAACTGGTACCTGTTCTCCTAATAAGATCTAGGGGATAGGCTCAGGGGGAAGGCAATATGGTTTTCTTGTCTCCCCCCAGATTTGATATTTGAAAATTTGTTCCCATTGTATGCTGGACCTTCCAAGGCCAAGACCCTTTCCACATTTTTCATGAGACATGAGAGAGGCACACCCTGCCCACCCCACTGAGAGTCAAGTGATCCCAAAGATGACAAGAAACTGTACTACATCCGGGGCCCTCAAGATCCAGCCCCTGTCACTGTGTGAGCCAGCCCACGGGGCTCCCACAAGCCTGGCCTAGATCAGGCATTCAGGGCAGTGCAGGGCTCAATCCTGGCAACTTGGGTCCAAACAGAGGTAGTGAAGGGCCCTGTAGCAGGGTATTAACGTGCCTGCTACTGGAAAAGCAGCAGTATGGGCTCAGGTGCTGGCTGCTAGGGGCAACCAAGAGGAGCTAAGGGCCCACGCCTGGTGAGTCAGCTGACCGGAAGGAGCAGGGCTGACCACTATAAGACCCAGAGAGGAGGCTGGGAGCCCTCCCTTTCTCTCCATCCCTCCCTGCCTGCTGGCAGCCAGGAAGGAGGAGCACTGTTTGACCAAGGAAAAAAGCTTGGCCCTAAAGGTGAAAAAGGGAAAAGGCCTGGATGTACAAGCTGTTAGTTACACAGGTGAGAGATGTGGTGTGGTTTTGGTGAACGTTTTAGCCAGGAGGCTTAGATTTGCGTTATAGCTGATTGGCTTGTGTTATTGCTTTGGTTGTTGTTGTTAAACTAGAGGACCGGGTGAGGCTATTAGGGGTTGAAGGAGGCCTCATAGGGGCTCCATGGTAGCATGGGGACCCCAGTGCCAGAGAAGGCACAACATTCAGGGTTGCACTGACCCCAGCCCTGAGAAGGGGAGCAGAGGATTGGAAGGGGGCCAGGTAAGGTCGAGGCCACCTGAGCCCTAAAGCGAGAAGCCCTGGTGCGGGCAGTGGCAAGGCAAGCTAGAGGGTGGGCAGTGGCGCACGGAAAGGGAAATCGACCAAACAACATCCAGTAAATCTGCAAGGCTTGGGGTGTGGTACAGGGGTGGTTGGAGCCATGCATAGCCCATAAGGCCAGGGTTCACCGAGTCACCCAAGATAGAACTGAGACTGAGATACATCAGAGCACCATGTCAGAGAGGACTAAGAGCAGCCTCCTTTAAACATTGTTAACATCAAAGACATGACGGGTGAGATGTGAGTTGGTTGAGTTGGTTTAACACCAACTTGGCATGGTAGGGGGTGGTAGGGGAGATCACGGCCACTTCTAGGACCCCACATGGTCACAGGCCTCAGGGCCTAATCCAACAAGTGGCCAGGAGTTGGCAGTATGGGACTCCAGGTCCCAATGCCAATATGCAGGGGCAGTGGGGGCCCCCCAGATCCAGTCCCAATGTGCAGGGGCCAGCCAAGGCTCCACTGGTTCCAACCCAGGCATGCAGGTCTGATCCTGGCATCTGGGGACGATCAGACCATGGGGCCAAAACATTGAGTGTCACTCCGCGGGATGGTTCAAGAAATTCCTTCTCATTCCCTGCTTATTCTTCCAAAGCCCAGGGAACATGCAAGCTTACGTTTAGGTCAACCTAACTAGGGTGAGGTTGATCTAAATGACCACTCATGCAAGCATTTAAAGGGCTTAAATTGGTCAAAAAAATGCCACACATGCTCTAAGTTGGTGCATTTCAGTGGTAGAATATTTGTTTGCCCCATGGGAGACCTGGGTTCAACCCCTAGACGTGCATTAGCTATCGAGGCACTGAATGTCTGGATGCAGTCTGGCATTTGGATAGTGAGTGTCTCAATGGTCTAAAGGGGGAGAAAAGGTCCGAGCAGCCTCCACTCCTTCATATTCCTGGCATATGTGTCAAAGGTCTTGGTGACCTCTCTTGCATACACCATGATCTAGAAGGATCTACGGTTGCCTACTACTGTATTTTACCAAAGAAATAATTTCCAGCTTTGCCAAAAATGGTGCATTCTTATGAAAATGGTTGGGTTTTATAAATTAGTGTTTTCTGATGGGGGCAAGGGGGAACATTTCACTGGAAAAATTTAAAACACTTTTATTCCTAACAGCTGCTTCTACATATGAGTAAGTATAGTTTTACTGATTGAAAACTGCTTATTCTGGGATAGAAATCCTAAGGTTCAAACAAGTCTTCTGACAGGTGGAAAACCAGTGGTGCAAAGAATAAACAGGTTTATTTAGTGATTTAAAGCACTGTCTGTTTAGGATAGTAAATTTAGCTACAATTGATCAGCAAAGAGAGGATGAACACAGCAAAATAAAGAGCAAATAATCCCTACACACTTTGATTAAGCAAAATTTATTGATGCAGGCAGTACCAATGAAGTGGTTCAATGCAGTAAAGTAGTATCATCATATAGTAAGGGGCCCAGAACTTCATTTACAAAGAACAGAAAGCATCAGCATCAGGGACTTCCGTTAGTGCATGGCCTGCCCCACTGTGCCTGTAATAGGAACTACAGCATACAAAAATATGCTGCTATTTTGTGGTTCAGCAAGCTAAAGGAAGATAATGATGTTGTTTAATACTGAACTCTCCAACACACCCTCTGCCTGACAACAGATAGCTGCTGTGGAGATAAAATGCAGTTCCCACTTGCCTGTATGCATGTGAATTGATATTTATTTCAGTACTACCAGAGGTATGGAAATAATATTTTTGTTGGAAATATTGCCACATACTGACAGGACTAAGAATATGGATATTACAGCTCAGAAGATATTTTGGTGAACTGTTTGCTGAAAAATACATTTTTTTTTTTTGCATTCTGAATACAAGAGGAAAATTCAGGCTAGTTAGGACAAACAAGGGGAGGAGGAGGTCTAGTTGGATCGCCCAGTAATACCCAAGAAACCAGTGCTCACAGTACTCACCGGGGAAGATGACACCTGGATTGTAGTCACCGTTGAAATGAATATTTGAGTATTTTGGTAAAAACATAATAGAGTTAATGGGAAAGATAAAGTAAAACCCCCCCAGGAAGGCAGTAAGGCCAAGTAGGAAGATCTCATTTTAAGTCTCTGCTCTGGATTACACAGAAAGGGAATTTGAACCAGGTCTCATAGGGTGCATCCAGATGAGCATGCACACGCACTTTGAGGCTCCTCAAAGGCTTTTGAGGTGCTCCAAAATGTATGCAGTGCATGTGAATAGTGTCTCTGCATTGCATATTTGCAGCGTGGAGGCAAAATTAGATACCAGGAACTCCTGTTATTAAAAAAAAATGTTTAAATAAAAGCGGGGTGGCACATGTGGCTGCAGGGTGCGCCACTGGAAACCGGAGCCTGGCTGGCCAGAGCCATGCTTTGGCTGCTGGCCAGGTTCCATGTGCCTGGATCGCAACTGCTGCAGCACTTGGGTGCATTTTGCACCTTAAATGACTCCTTTAAGGAATTTTAGTTTGCTGCCCTATGGCCGCGGAGTGAAGCACCAGGCTCCATGCAGCTCTGTGGCTCTGCAGGAAGCCTTGCACGCAGCCTGGCAGCAGCCCGGGAAGGCAGGCTCTGCCCAAGAAAAGCAATGAGCCTGATCTTTACTCCCCCCCGAGCCTGCCTGCCTGAGCTGTGAAGGGGCCGGGTGCTTCCCTCTGAGGATGCA